GGGGGGGGGGGGGGGGGGGGGGGGGGGGGGGGGGGGGGGGTTGTGGTTAACAGTGTGATGACCTCTACAGTTGGCAGCTGACATGTAGTCTGAGACTGTGGGATCTACAAGTGTTGACAAAACAAGTCTGAGGGAAGTCTGTATATTATCATCCCTCCCCGCAATAGATTATGTAATGCTTCACTTTTCATTGAGTAAGAAATGTTGATCAAAGAGCAATTATTACCCTCAAAGTTGATGATGAAGAAAAGATCTTCAGAAACGTTTACATTCACTCCACCGCAGCAGCGGAGCCAGATGTTGTAAACATTTTTCTGCGATATGTTTTACGTCTTAAATGGTCTTCAAACTCTGACTTGAAGAACAGAACAACAGAACAGAACATTTACTGAATTAAATTAGGGTTCTTTTTTAGGGAATAGCATGGTGGTGGTAGTAGTTGTAGCATAAAACAGCCCCCCAAGACAATGTTAGGGCGGACATGAATAGAAGTATTTCCCCGGTAATAGAGCTTTTGCTCCATTCATTTGCTGGTTCAGTCAGAGAAACTGAGAGCAAATTACACAAAGTTGAAGCTATTTCAAAAACCGAAAAGATTTGAGGCTTTTGACAAACATTTTCGGCTGGAGCCCCAGATTTATATTATTTGAAACCTGAAACTAGAAGATACCAACTACAGTATGTCACACCGATAGTGTAGAATAGTGTATTAAATTATGCAATAAATGTTAAATATTTCCATCTGATATGTTGGTGTAGCTATTAAAATAGGAATATTTCACTCAATGCAAGCATCATGTACTTACAAAATATTTTGTGATAACAAGCTCACAGAATGCCATACAATCGTACGTGTTTTTAAGAAGTACGGCTTTTTAAGGCTTCATTTTAAACCATTTCATGGACCAGCTGACGACACATCTGACTGATAGAAAATTAGCAACAGTGCTAAAACACATACACACATACAAGCAAGTAGAGCAGTTTACAGTGTCCTGATTTCTTTCAGCGCGTTCAAGGACAAGGGTGTGTTTCCATGCTCATTTTAGGAATCATGTTCCCTATTAATTTTATGATCTAATACACTGTAAGACAGCATGGCACATGGCAATCAAGTTTATATAATGTGTAACGAACTGGCTACAACAAGCAGAAATTGTGGTTCTGGTTTGGTAACATTACAAGAAATGATTGGCTATGACTTAAGCTTTGGCCTCTAATGAACCCTTGTCTATTTGCCAATCAGTCAGCAAGGCCAGCTTCCAGGTAACATGCAGTGCAGTGGGAGGAAATGCACTGGCAGTCTAGCACTAAGCTCAGTTTAAGCAGAGGAGCACAGGAAGCTACACCTGGGGCCAAAAGCAAACTGATCAGCTGGTGAACCAATCTTTCAGGTGGACCAGCGCACCTTGCACTCTCAGTTAAACAATAGAATAACATTCAGAGGGTCACATCCTTTGCTCCCCCCCACCCCCAAGAACAGTAAGCGCAGCTTACACACCACCCTCTGTAATTACAAGTGTACAAGTGAGTCCTCCACACTATAAAGCTCTTCATTAGTGCACTGGGGAAAACAGCTCGGCTCTGGAATCCTTGATGATTTACAGTAAACAAGCTTGTTCTGGTTGCAATTAGGAGTCTCTTGTCAAAGCCTTGTTTTTATAACTTCCCCTGAATGAATGCAGTGGTGGGATGGAGGGGGCCTGTGGATCCTACTGCCTGCTTGAGAGAAACCCAAGTCAGGGTGTCGTAACGTGTCATTTATTTATGACCTGGGGATTTTTGTAATTAGTAAAGGAATCAAACAGGGCACAACACAGCGGTTTTTAGGTTGGCTGCAACTATGATTCAGTGCAGGAGTGCAAGAGAGACGTCATAGGAATACTTCATCGTTACAATGACCATTTGTGGATCAATTACTCACCACGTGTTGCCTTGAATTCTTGAAAAAAATCGGTCGAAAACAAGAGTAAATCCTGGATGCATTGAATTAAATTCAGGTAGGTGTAATGCTTCTTATATACAGTCCGTCGTCAAAGCTGTATCAAAACATTGGTTTACAAACTCGTGCAGTATAATTCAATCCCGTTTATCTTGTCGTATGCTAAACACATTTGCATTCTTGCCCAAATGTTCCTTTTTAATACACTTCCACCACTACCGTTTCATCGTTGCGCATCCGCTAGAACTGAAGGTAATTTTAAGGGTGAAGTATTCTTTTAAATCCATGACATTCACTGCACTAAAGCAATACAAAAATATAGTTTTTTTCCCATCCTTGCTGTATGTAAGTAAGTAAATAACATTCTCTCTGTTTTTGTCTCAGAGGTCACTTCGCCCCGCTTGTCATCAGTCCACTGCAACTCCCCGATCCCCTCAGTGCAGCTGCTCTCAGGGTGTAGCTTGTTTCTGAAATATGATAGTCTCTCTTGCATGACCTCACTTTGGTTTGGACAGGGGAGGTGTGGTGGCAGGTTATTTTGTCAGGCTGAGTAGAGCATTCAAATGATTAACTTGTGATTGAAAATTACAGCATTTATAGGTTTGTTGATATTAAAACGCAGTCATGTAGGTGTGTGTAGATAATAGGAATGGCAAGGTTGTTTATCTATATGCTCCAACATCAGGTTTGTTTTTAAATTTCAGGGCAGATGCATGAACTTCACCCGCATAAAGTCTCCCTCTCCTCATTACCCACACTACAACCATCACTCATCTCCCATCTACAACCCTCCCAGCAGGACTCCACCTCCACCGCAGGGCACCCTCCCCCCTCCCCCAAGCAGCCCTCCATCATCTCCAACGTTCTCCTCCCCCACCCTTCCACTACTGCCTCCAACACCTCCTTCCACCTCCACCACTCCTCCCATTTCACCTCCCCCTTACACGCCACCTCCCACCCGGGCTCTTCCTCCGACCACCCTGCAGATACCTGACCCTCCGGTGCTCCCACCCACCCCTCCACCCTCTGCCTCCCCGACTAGTTCCCTGCCTCCTCTTCCACAGGGACCTCCTGCGGGGCGAGCCCCTCCACCTGCCCGCCCACCACCTCGCCCTGGCCCGTAGAGCTCCGGGAGCAGACGGGAGAGAGTTTAACAGAATTTAAAAGGCAACCCAGAGTCCCACCAACGATCAGCACATGACCATCCTTGATTGTACCTGCGAGTGCCTTGTGCCACACTCAGTGGGCTGTGGTCTTTCTGCCTTGTGAAGTGGACCAGTGAGGACTTGTTTTCCGCTATTTGTCTACTGTGACTTTTGTACACATTTAGCCCAACAGTGCAATTGCTCGGATACTTGAATTACACCAACATTCCCTACAAATGAGGTCATGCAGGCCGGCTCTAAATTATTTTCCTCCTTGGTCCTCAGAGCTGCTTCAGGCCCTGTGGTCACTTCCATGAATACGCAAGATTAGACGAATCCTCAACAGCTTGAACTAATGCCTCTTCTCAAGGAGCACAGTCACGTTCAAAATGATCGAGACACTAAAATATGTGCCTGTGTTACATTTCCAGAAAAGAGATAAAAGACTCATGTTGCAAATGTTCCACAAACAACAGATTTAGGATGATTTAGAAGAATCTGAAAATCCCAATTTTTGTATTCTTGAATGTTGAGCAATTGCATGCAAGTGTTTGACTTTTTGTAACATTTCTACCTTGTTTTATACAACATAAATGCATTTTGTACTTACCACATTTTCCATTTTTGAGGTTAAAAAAACCCAGTAATTGCTGATAAACACATATACACTAAGCGTATTGACACAGCAATGCAACATACGTATCTGAACTTGTTCTTGCAACTTTTGTCTTGAGTGCCATATTAACCGGCTTTATGAGAGTCACAGCTGGCCTAATCTTTGTGCACATCAGAGTAGACATGTTTTTTATGCCCTATTACTATAACTGACCTGACCAAGATGACTGAAATCACAGCATATGCTATGTCTGTCAATATGTGTACGAAAATATGTCAGTCAGGGAAAAGCTTTGCACATCGTCTTGCTCATCCACCTGCTCATCCACCCACGGCCTCTAGCAAAAGGGTTTTATGTAAATAATCATTTTGATATAACCATGTGTGTTCAGATATCTGGGAGTGTGTGTCAAAAAGAAAGAGACTATTCGTGACAGCCTGTTTAATCAACTTAAACAAAATGATCTGGCTTCTTTTGCACATGGTGCTTCCAGTTCCTCAAAGCATGGGAGATAACAAAAGCATGCTGTTTCATGGGTCATATACAGTTCAGTATATGGAATTTAAGGTTAATATGAAGCCGTTCCTTGATGGTGACGGTCTCAGCAGATTGCAAGCTCATCTTTCACTCCGAGAGTCTTATATAAATGTCATGGCAAAACTGAAAAGCCCGAATGTAACTTTCCACCAATACAGTAGAGCATGTACACACCTTTGTTGGTTTCATTCAAAATGAAAGTAAACAATCAAAATGTATTGAATAGGATTTTTATTTTATTTGTCTTCATGTATTGTTCTTCAAATGCAATTACTGACCAGTAAACCAGCCTGATTTACTTCTTGACAATGTGATAACAGCCACAGTGCTCTCTAACAGTGCTCCTCCTTTTCAAAACTAACGAATGTCTCCCACATTCCATTTATCCTTCAGATAAGATATCGCAATATTCTGTAACACTTATTGCAATTTTTAATTCCATTTTCTTTTATTTCACAATAAGTTAGACGGTTGAAATTGCCACTGGGATCACCAGGTTCACACAGTGGTTATTTGCAAAAAGCACAGAGCACCTCCCTGTGATAGAAAAAAAAGAAGAAAAGGATATGCAAAGCATGGCCAACTAATCCCAGATGTTCATATGTTGCATTATGTCACATGCACGAATGGAGTGAGCTATCTAGGAAAATATTAGACACCATCTAATCCTCAGGAAATGTGGACAGGCTGCAGGAAAGGTGTCCTGGTGCTAATAATTTGGGGACAGACAATGGACAAGTGACTTAACATTTAAGGTTGACAGCATGCAGGGACATTTTTATATTGGGCTGTTTTCAGTTAATTTTTCTTATTGCACAAACTAAATGCAAGATGTCATCGAGTCTGTTGCCAGCTTTTGTTTGCACTCTATCTTAAGAATTACTGCACAGATGTCTAAAATATACTATACAAACATTACATCACAGATTATAACTATTGCACAGACATATGATAAAAACCCAACAACAGTCCTTGGCGTTATGTTGGGCGCAGTCTCCTTTTGTACATTTTTTAGGAAGAATTTGGTTTCTGTTATATGTTAAAATCAGAGATAAATCCGAGACCTTAATTTGCAACTGACAGTTTGTTGAACAGTTTTTTCTCCAGAATTTGACTGCACCATAAGTGAGGCCAGCTTTGCGTTAAACCAACATTCACTAGTGTCTGGCCTACAGTCGGCCTGCATGCTAGAATAGATTATAAAAAAAACAACTCATGTGTTCACTGATAGTCAGGAATCAAACTGAACTCCACCTGCTTATCCATTTCTAAATATGCATCGAAAGGAGAGAGGCATTATTGCAGATTCAAGCTTTCAATTTAACTTTAAACCATCAACAGGAGCAGGCAGGATTTTTTTTTGTATTAAAAGTAAAACAAAAAAGTATGCAATTTGGAATGCAGCTAACATCTAATAAATACCAGGTGTATGACCAGCTGATTGCTCAGTTGCATTAATTAGCCTACACTTCTTGTTGTAGGTCTACTAGAAAAAAAATGGAGAGCAAATCCTAAAAAGTGGTCCGTCAAAGGGAGGAAGAAACATAACACATTTGGTCCTCCCATAGGCTGTTTTCAGAGCTGACATTTGAGCTCGTCATAGGATGAAAAGCGCAGGCGTAATCACACCAACAGTGGCTTTGATCCACTTCAGGGTCACAGTTTTGTAACACGACAATGGAGCCATATTTGGCGCTATTCGTTACAAGTAAAACAATTAAAACAAAAACAATATTCAAGCCATGTCTCAACTAATTAAGGTCACAGTGGTGAAAACACATGCTACTAGTTAAGCAATCACTCAGACACCATAAAGCAGCTGTGCCGTGTCTGGACATGCAGGTGAAGGACTTGACTGCAGCACAAAGCGCGTTACCTGAACTGCTACAGATGACGCTTACTCTCGATGCAAGACTACCCACAAAACTCCTTGTGATTGGAGCATGGAGGCTGTATTTGCTCAGAGCTGTGGCTATCTTCAGCAGTTACTCTGTTGCTGCACTTGAAGCCATTGTTGTAGTTAGTCAGTGCAATGAAATCCTTCTGAGAATTGCACTTGGTTTCACCAAGAGTATAGCTTTTTACCTTTCAACCATGCTGAGGCTCAATGCAATCCTCAGGCTCACGCTGGCAGGTGTGCTCTTCTCACGAGAGGGACCGGACCAACGTCGACACCCAAACGGCTCCACCTGTGCTTCATCAGAGGCCTTCAGAAACAGCAGCTCCTCTCCTTTGTGCTTTGGAGGAAGAACTGTGAGGTGGCTGATGTCAGCGCTGCACGCCGTGTCTGCACTCTGCCGCCGTTCACGGTCTGTTAGCGTGACCATCTTGGCCCCGTCAAGTTGGTGCAGTAGCTTCAGAATCACCGTCTCCACCATTATGACTTTGATTGGATGCGTCAGACCACTGCTGTCCACCTTACAGACGGTGACCGGTTACGCTATACAAGTACTTGGAGCCGTCGGGGATCCGTCATCACTAATAAGCAGACCCTGAATCTTTCGTGAATCTGGACTCTTTTAATACAATGTACATGAAACTAACCAGAAATTACATTTTTAACATCGTTAAGTCTGTAGCTGGATTTCTACTACCCGTTTTTATTCTAATGAAATAAAATGCGACATATTTGATGATCATGCACAATGTTTGGCCAACTGTCAATATTTCTGGATTTGTGCATGCACACCCTGAACTCCTCACCAAATGAGCTCGGACAATAAAAAGAAGTTATATGACACTTTATTGCATCAGCTCCACTAATACACTGTACAGTGCCCCACTCAACAGTAACTCAACAGAGGTTGCTAGGATTCAGTGCAGCGTCCTTTGTTTATGCCTCCAATCAAAAAAAAAAAATCGAAATCTGCTTAAAGCATGTATGTGGGCTACAAAAGTACCTGTAACATTGTTTAGTTTTCAAACCCGTTCACCGGCTCGGGAGGAGGGGTGCAAAAGTTCAAGTTCAGGCTTGATTGCAAAAGCAAAATCAATATTTCAAAACCTGAAGTAAAGAGAAGAATACAAGCGGGTCCCATTTCTTCACTACACAAATGCATGTGTACAACATTTCTTGGGCGTTTGAAACAGACATTTGGATTACACACGCACACACAGCTGGCATCTGACTTTCTATCTAAATAAACATCTTCAGTATAACAATAGTAGTATAATAGACTTAGTGCCATACAACTGTGTATATGCCCCTTTTAGGCCTTCATACGACACAAGCTACCAGCATCAGTACACGTTTGCCTACAATATAGGATGAACATATAAATATATATGTTTTGGTTTACAACTGCCAAAGTCATTGTAGAGATTTTTGGTTTGACAGTATATTTCAAATGACAGTAACATTCACATTTCAAATCAAAGAGTACCTTCACTATAATAAAAAGAAAAGAGTTAAATGTAACAAAAGAAAGAATAGCTACAAATGGTCCCAATATTGCAGTAGTTGTGCTGGCAAGGTGTGGGTTGGGAACTGGGTGCAACTTTTACTTCAGGTTAGTAACTTCATCTCACTTGAATTATTTCAGTTTATAGTTTAAACGTAAACCTGCGATTAGCAATAAGGTCAGCAGTAAGGTCAGAACTAAATTGTGCACAGATAGTTAAGTTCCAGTATAATGTACAGAGAATTGTCAAAGCAGAAATAGTGTATGTAACAAAACAATCTCACACCCTGGTGTATGTTGCTTAGTAAACAAGGCCGATTCTCATTAACTGAGCCAAGTTTAAAATACAAAACACGAGGTTTATAGACCAGAACAAGCTTCTATAGCCTACACACAAAGACCTTAGACAGCAGTGTACAGTAACAAGCTGTGTCCTCAGAAGAAAGTCAAAGAGAGAAACTGAGTCAACACTGGCAAACTGTGCTACAATTGAGAAGCGATGACCTGTGACTTGGAATGATTTAAGACGGTTGTTTACTTCAAATGTCGAGTAAAGACACTTCAGATGATTAGCTGCCAAAGAAAAAATATCCAAACTAAACTACAAATCATTGCACTAAAGGAAAAAAAAAAAAGAGTCAGTACGGTCTTTAAAACACAACTTCTGTCATTCAACAGCAGCTCCAAGATGCTCCCAGTGTCAGTTGTTAGCTTCACAAACCCAGAGCTTGATGAGGATAAGTCACTGCCAGCCCAGACCTCGCCACCACAGACAAAACTGCTTCTCTAACAATAATACGACAATGATGCCAAAGGTTTCTGGGAAAAATAGAAAGTGAGATACAGACACAATGCAACAGTGAGGTACACAACTGTTGAGTAAAAGATTGCATTACAAAGAGCCATGATACATGAACGGGACATTGGTTTCTCTTAGTTTCTGCAGACAGACGCTCCCTCGCCTCGTTTGAATGTGCGTCCGCCAGGCTTTTGTTGTTATGCGATGATCGGTGCGATTCACTCTACGGTCACAGACTTGGCCAGGTTTCTTGGACAGTCCACCTGTATTTAAACAGAGGGAGGTCAGTTACTACATAACAAACAGCAGCAATATATATGGACAACAAGTAATGAGGAGTTTCTACTGTTGACTGAATGCTACGGTCAAACTATCAAGTACGATTTAGCTAAATCATAACAACAACAAGCAGTGATACGGCAGCTTGGCAGACTAATAATTCCCAAATCCTTGCTCCTCATCATTTTGACGGAAACGGTTGTAAAAATTCATAATCTATTACTTGTCCCTTTAATACTTTTATTATAATAAGGCGGAGGCTAAAGATGTATTTAAAGGCGGAGTCTGTGATTTTAATCAAATACACTTTTTGTCAAATTCAGTGAACATCTGGTCACGTTCTGCTAGCTGTCTGTTCTGCATGAGTAATGATAAAAGATCTGGTGTTTATTCACGGTTTTAGTTTGTTTTTTTGGAAATGATTACATTGGTCTTGTAATATAATTCATTTATATTTATTTTATATTTGTTTTTTACTGACACATAGGTGGCGGTGGCGCTCTCGATACTGTACGTGTTTCTGTAATAATTAATATACAGAACGAGCTTATGGATTGTGTATTTATATGTAGTGATCAGACGCTCCAAAGCCTCCAGTCCGTCAAAATTACTTCAGATTTTTACATCATTATTAAAAAACTCCCGTCAATGACGGAAAATATTCGGTTAACGCGACCTCTGCGTGGCACACTCTTACAAGTCCACCTTATGAAAGAAAGAGAAAATTAAGATAATAGGAAAATGCTCTTGCATGAGGTCCATTGTTCTCAACTTGTACTCTTATTATTATTGTGACTATTTCCCACAGTGACCAGTATACGTAAACACTGGCAAACTACCGATACCGAAAGCTTTTAGTTACAGTGATGACTGCAGATGCAAATGGTGGAGATGGGCGAGTTCAGAAACTGATATTTCAGAGCATTTTTTAGTCTTAAGTGACAGGTGAGCTAATAAATCTCATCTGGCAAAACGGTTGCGATCATCAGTTAGCGCCGAGCCTGAAGGGACAGTACTTACGTCGTAACCTCGGAGGACAGCCAGGTGGAAGGAAAGCAGCTGCAGCGGGATGACACTCAGGACGCCCTGCAGGCAGTCCACACAGTGAGGCACTTTGATGGTGCGGCTGGAGTTCTTAGCGGTCTCGTAATCGTCTTTGTCACAGATCACGATGGGGCGGCCCTGTAAATCAAACAAAGCAAATCATCTGTCAATTTGGTCCCAAACCTGGAACCTCTCTCAGTTGATTTTCACTCCTCTTAAACCCACATCTGCCACAGATTACCGACAGCAGTGATGTCACGCTGGAAAGAGCCCTCCCTTGTATTTAATGAGGTGAAGGATCAGAGGTGTGGCACAGACAAGACTGTGAAAATCATCAAGCGGTCAGGGAGTTAAAAAATGCAAATAAGGAATTTATGACTTTTTCAAAGGCTCTGAATCACAATAATGGCACAAAAACCAACAACTTGCTTGTAAAATCAGAGCTCAAACAAATTAACTGAGTCAGTTTCCACCACATAATGTTTCATGAGCATTTTAGAGACCGAGTTACAAATCTGCAGGGTCAATCACTTGGGTTCACCACTGCAACAGGATATTTTCCTAAATATCACAACATTCATATTTTTTCGGGAGGCCGTACGTAGGTCTTACCTGGCGGGCAACAATTTGCTGCAGGGCGTTCTGACATTTGATGTAGGTGTTGTCTCTCATGATGATCATGATGACTGGCATGAGTTTATCCACCAGAGCCAGGGGACCATGTTTCAGCTCTCCAGCCAGGATGCCTTCTGAATGCATGTATGTGATTTCCTTGATTTTCTACACAGGATGAAAAAAAACCAAAAAAAAAAAAAACCCTCCATGGGTTAAGAAAAGCTATGCTGACGATGTAGTCATGATGGTTTACATTTCAAAAACAGAAAGACAGAGTGCACCTCTGAAGTAAAAACGAAGCTGGTGGAAAAGAAGGTTGTATTTGCTCACCAGTGCTCCTTCCAGGCAGGTAGCATAATGGTAACCTCTGCCCATGATCAGGACACTCTTCTGTTCGTACAGCTCCGTTGCCAAACTCTGGATCTCATCATCCAAACTGAGGACCTCCTTAATCAGATCTAACAGACAAAACAGATGGGAAGAAGGATTCTTTTGAAAAATAGCAAAGAAGAAGCAAAAAACAAAAACTATCACGCAAAATTTTAAATAAAATACTGTGTGACCATGACACTGTGTCACATGCTGGAATATGGTCTCAGACTCATAATGTTGGGAGTGGGAGCGCCAGCATGGCCAGACATTCCTCATCGTATGAATTAGATCTAGAGAAGCACGCGAGAGCCTAAAGCGCTCTTCTTCTGATCCCACTCTCATCACTTAGCTTCCTCTTCCAAACAACACAATAAAACAGGCTTTAAGTGTATTTGATCATTGGTTTTCCACCCCTTTACATTGTAATCTCACATGTGAACAGAATTTATTTTTCTGAACCAGAATACTTGGGGCTTGATTTACCTGGAAGCACCCTCAGGCCCTGGATTATCTCTCTGCGTCTGGGCTGTACGGAAATCCTGTCATCGCACATCAACAGTGCAAACATGATGAGGGCCACAAACTGGCTGGTGTAGGCCTGCAGAGCACAGAAAAACAGATTGCATGCGTTATTAAGGTTAGCATTATATTATAACTCCGATGATCCATGCATGACCGTAGAATGGCCACAACTACCACTGGACATTGCAGCCTTGCTTGTTGTGACCAGATGGCGCGCGCGAGCGAGCGAGCGAGCGAGCGAGCGAGAGAGAAAACAAACAGCAGCAACCAGATCCTGTTTCAAGCCTCTCTTTTAGTAGAGTTCTTGGACTTTGTGCTTCTTGTCTCCAGCAAATAATCTGCACCAGATGAGAGAAGGAGAGGTGGGTTTTAGTTTCTCGCGAAGCAGCACTAAAATGCATGCAGTTGAGCTCACTCAAGCTAGTGCTGCTCATCCTGGAGAACTTCGTGATAACACAACATCGTTCAGAGAGCACAGCCTGTGATCGTTCTGCAAACGTCACTGCTCAAAGCCCCAGCAGTTCAGAGACCATATGCCTGCCGTCATCACCGCCCACTCCCTCTCTGTTCCTTCATCTCAGAGCACGTTTGGAGGCCTTCCATGCCCAATTGGAAGATTTAATCAGTGCTCAAGTGAAGCAAAGTCATTTCACAGGACCCTCCAGACTCAGAAATGGCAGCGTCTAGTGCCAAGAAAATAGCCGTAAAACCTTGACACAGTTTCTCCTCTCC